TTGTCGCCCTGTTGATGACGTCAGCAACGCGGTTTAATCGGGCACGCTTTAGTCGAGCGCGGTTTTGTCGTGCCACGGTCAGAACTGAGAATCGTAGGCCGAAATCTCTAAGATCTACTTTCCTATCCTACTCTGTACCTGACAAGGTTGACCTTACATCTCTGTAAGTTCTCCACCATTTCAACCAAGTCAAGATAAGCATCCTCAAGAGGTCACCTTTTTTTTTCCCCTCTCTTTTTTTTTTTTTTCCCTAGGTCCTGAGAAAGTTTTGGACTTTCGAATCCTTGCGATGTTTTGGATTGCCTCTGTTCATCTAATCAAAGGATTGCCTATCGGTATTTTGGGGTTTTTTCCTTCTTCTTCTCATTGTCCGCCTGTCTAATTGTTTCTTTTCTTACTCGAGAATATGGGGGGGATCCTGCCCCAGTTCAAACCAAGATTCTTCGTCTAGAACCGAAGTGTGAAACTTTTTAACCTAAACTAAGAGCTGCCGTGGGTCGTCCTACAGAAGGAAATCGGATTTTTCTACCTGATTCCGAGGTTGTGTGAACGTCTTTAGCTGTAACGGGCAAGCAAGCAGAACAGGAATAGACTCCGGAAACCCAACTGGTTCCGAGCTCCTCCATTGCAAACCGTCTTGGGCATGGTAGGAGTCAAATAGACAAAGTTCACATTTTCTCCAAGCGTCAGAGCATCTTTGATGTCGCACGTTTTGTTGGGGTTCTTGCTGGCTTGGAGATGGTTCTTGAGGAAAGTGGTGGGCTTCTCCGAGCCAGCCAAAGCTACGTGGACGAAGGCCTCGCGAGAGCCAACGTCGTTATAGGCCTGGCAGGTATAAATGCCTTCGCTGGCCTTGCTGAATTTGGTGACCGCCATCGATCCGTTTTTGAAGACCAGGAAGCGCCCTCTGCTCTGCGAGGAACCTGCCGAGTCTAGATCCTCTTCTCTTTCAACGTTGGGCCCGTCGATGGCCACGTGTTCATCAACGGTCTGGATTTTCCACCTGATCTTCGGCGGGGGTTTACCCACGGCGTTGCAGTGCAACTGAAGGGTGAGCCCATCCTTCAACTTACTGTCCCCCAAGCTGGAATGATAGACCAGCTGCACCGATGGAAGGGAGCAGTCTAGCTTCAAGGATCTCCCAAGAACAAGACCTTTCTGCTTTTCCGGAGTGGCACACGTGATGGACTTCTTCTCTGGAATGGAAACCAATGTGCTCTGCAGCCATCCATCCAACCACCAAATTTTGCAGGTGCAGTCAAAGGGGTTGTTGTTGATTTGGAGCTGAGCTAACTTAGGCATGGGGCTGAAGGTCCCGTCCGAGAGAGAAGCCAGCCGATTGTCACTCAGCCAGAGGGATCGGAGATCCTTAAGGGACCGGAAGGCTTCCGGAGGGATCTTCTCCAGATGGTTGTTGCTGAGCTTCAGCAGCTGCAGAGATGTGAGGTTGGATAGGTCTCCCCAGGGGAAATTCGTGATCTGGTTGTGGCTGAGGTCAAGAGCTCGGAGGTGTACCAAGAAAGCGAAGGTACCCACAGCGATGGCCCCGATCTCATTGTAGGAGAACCACAATCCTTGCAGCTTGGCCATGTTGGCGAAGGATCCTTCGCCCAGCGTGGTAATGTGGTTGACCGACAGGGTGAGGGTGGTGGTGTTGGAGGAGAAGTTCTGAGGAACCATCTGGAGATCTTGATAAGAGCAGTCTGCAACGTAGCGCTCATATTTCTGCTTCGCTACACAACGGCAGACCTCCGGGCAGCTCTGCATCCCCACCAACAGCAGTGCGGTTAGTAAGCAGGTGAAGGGATCCATTGCTTTCTACCCATTGAGCTGCAAAAACAAGAACAGAGGAGATTCACAATTCGCAATTTGCAATTAGCAGTTCGACTTATATACCGCTTCATAGTGCTTTTACAGCCCTCTCTAAGCGGTTTACAGAGTCAGCATATCGCCCCCAACAACAATCCGGGTCCTCATTTTCCCCACCTCGGAAGGATGGAAGGCTGAGCCAACCTTGAGCCGGTGAGATTTGAACAGCCGAACTGCAGAACTGCAGTCAGCTGAAGTAGCCTGCAGNTTTAAGTCTGGAATCAGATTGCACAACACAAACCTATCAAACCACACTCGCCCCTATTTCTCTGCTTCTTCTAAATGCCTTTCCTGATTATCTTCAGGCTGACCCCCCACGCAACCTTCTAAGACCACCGTTTTAACATGATCGTTTTCCCCCCCTCAACAGGAATCAAACTCATGAAGACCGCCAATTCATCGCCCAAAGCATCAAAGGGCCAACAGAACAGGGTCCGGTGGTGCCTGGCGTACACCCTCCTCAACAACCCATCCCTGCTGCCCTATCGCAAAGGGGCCCTCGTGGATGCGACAGCCAACGGGACGAAAGCCAGCCTCCCCAAGCCTTGATGGAACTGGCAAGGTTTCTTGGAAACAATGGACTCCCATCAGGAGGTGGCGGATGGATTCCACCCCCAGTTTTCATCTGGGGTTCTTCAACGTCTTCTCCATGCCCCTTTCAGGCTTATGCCTCTACCCTGACCTGTTTGTAGACTTAGAAGATGAGAAGAGGCTTAGTTGTCCTTCTTTCCTTTCCCACCCCACCCCACCCCACCCCAGGACAAACAGCTCTTGATGGGCACAAAACCCAAAGCAAAGTTTTGGAATTGATCCAAAGCTGGTCTCTTTCTCTATATAACAAGACGTTCCTTAGATGCGTCCTCCTGTTTTTTTTATAACACGCGAAACCTGTCAATGTTGCCCTTCCCACGAGGTTTCAAGACCTTCTGAAGTGCTTGGTCCACCCTAAATCTTGGGGGGGGGGGGCTCACTTTTAGCAAGAAAGAAAGCCAAGGATGGTAGACTTGGAAGTTAAAAACAGAATAGAGACCGGATTATGGTGATGTTGAGAGTTTTGCAAATGTACGTAAAGGGTTGTTTTTGAATGTTAGGGCTGGGTGGTGTTTGTGATGGAGAATCTGTATAAATGCATCGAACAAGCTGCTTTATCTTGTTTACATTCCAACATGCACAGTTCCAGGTTTGTCTAGATGTTTAACAGAGTGGCCACCTTTCCTCGGTAGAATTAAAAGAGTTGTGTTATAATTGTGGAGGCGAAGAAGAAGACAAAGGAGAAGAAGCTGGACAATCAAAATACTGTATATACGCAAGAAAGAAAGAAAAACACATCTCAGACTTTTTAATCCCCCCCAGTTCTGATAGGTTATATTGAGAAAGCTCCTACATAGTTGTGTCTTTTTGACAATCCTGTGGCTTCTCCTCATTCTTACCTTGACCAAGTAGGGTTCCCGCCCATCTCCTTTAAACTTAAAACAGCTCCAGTTTCAGGAGCTGGCCAGAGGACTTCCGCCCACCTGGTGAACCTAGAGTAATTAAAGAATACAGAAACCTGATTGCTACTACGCTGAGTAATAAATGAAACCTCATTGTTAGTCTCTTGGAGAAGGTGTGCTTTTGCCGTCTTCTTCTCCTGCACTTCAGAGTCATCTCTCTTGGCCTGCTGGAAATCCAACACTGGAAGGAAGCATTTGATGATGGGGAAGTTGTTTCGCCAATGTTGGGATTTCAAAAAAATAATAATAATAAAGTTGGATAGAGAAGGATGTGTTGGTAGTCTGGTCCTTGTGCAGCCTCTGGTTCGCCACAAAAGATCTTTTTTCCAAGTCTCACCTGTTTAAAAGATCAGAGAGCAAGAATAGAAGAAGACTTCCAGAAATACAACAGTTGGAAGAGTGTAGCTAGATTTTTTCCATTTCCCAAGCTGGAGAATGTGTAGTTCATCCCTTGCGTGCGTCTCCTCGGCATGTTTTAGAAGAGACTGTCGGTGTAACCACTTTACGCTGGCTTGCCCTTCGCTGCTATATGGTGAAAGACTTCCATGAACTGTGAAGAGGGGGAAATGCTTGAGGAAATGAAAGTAAGTGCTGTGTCTCCTTAAGATGCTGCCTCAAGGTCACCCAGCTGGAAGAAGGAGGGAGCTGCATGCCAAACTCTGCTTGGACTGAAAGCATCTTGCCTGAACCCTGATTGGTTACACCGGAATGGGCTGTGAGAGACAATAAAGCGGGGGGGGGGGAGAAGTCCTTACACATTTTGCCATGCGATTCTCAGTTCTGGAGATACTGCAATACTGCAATACACTTGATCTCTAATAAAGAAATTATACCTTTCTCAACAAATGGAGCCAAGGACCATTGCTAGTTAGTTAGAGATTTAAAGTGTGGCAGGTGCGACAGTCAGAACGGTTCCACCACAAAACCGCGTTCGACTAAAGGGCGCTCAACAAAACCGCATAGCTGACGTCATCACAGCGCGACAACAGCGCGGAGAAAAAAGCACGCTGTAAACTCTAAACCTAAAATTAACCCCTAAACCTAAACCTAACCCCCCTAAACCTAATCCTAAACCTAACCCTAACCCTAAACCTAACCCTAAACCTAACCCTTAACCTAACGCTAAACCTAACCCTAACCCTTAACCTAACCCTAATCCTAACCCTAAACGTAACCCTTAACCTAACGCTAAACCTAACCCTAACCCTTAACCTAACCCTA